GATTTGATATGAGCGCAGAGCTGCAGGCAACCTTGGCTTTCCCGCCTACGGCGACTCACCAGCTTCGGCCTTTGCACTTGCCATCCAGAACAGGTGCTAATAGTCCAGAAGCGTCGGTCGGACGCGGCCTGTTGGATGCGCCTGAGCCGCGAGCTTCAAAGACGCACTTCGATCTGACGGCAAAGGCTCCAGACTCGCCGCGACGAATCATCAATGGCACCGTGCCTGCGAGCCGACGTCGTTCGACCCTTTCATACCGCAACAGCTCGATCGACTGGCCTGCAGACGCCGTTAAGGGAATCGCGAACGAGTCCGGGCCTTCCAGTGCTGTGCACATGACCATGGCGGAGCTGCAAGAACGCCACAAAGCCAAGCTCGCTGCCAAACAATCGAGAGTGTCAGCAACGTTTGAGCTAGAGCTCGCGAAGCAGCATTGGGAGCAAAAGGTCGCAGAAGAACGCAAGACGATGCATCTTCGCGAGCGCGTGCGCGCACACGAGGCCGCGGTGGCTGCAGCTCAAGCCGAGGAGCAGCTGCGCCAGCAAGCCTCCACAGGTGCAGCTCAGTCGCAGTATCGTCGATCGATGAGTCAGCTCCTCATACTAGGTGAAAGGGATGGTAGCGCAAAGCAGGACGAGCGCTCGGATGCGACACAACGCACAAAGGAATGGCGCCAAAGCGTGCGCCTTTCCAAAGACGGCGCATCGTCGATGGATCGCCTTCGAAGGTCGCGTCCCACATCGATGACACTCGATCATCAACCTGAGCTCAGCAACGACCCGACGGTCAGACCAGCATCTGCTGGTGGCTTTAACCGAGATCAGAATCACAAAGCCGCGTACGATAAGTTGGTGAGCTCACAAGTCCATGCAGAGGTATCGGAAAGATATCCTTCCAGGGCGAGCGCCAACCTCGAGAAGGTACACAGAACGCCGAAAGGAGAGCTTACGGAGCTAGACCGGCGTCGCATTTCGCAAGGTGCTCTCGGCCGCCCTTTGAAGGGCTCCGGAAGCAACAAGACTCTGCTCGATTTCGAACACACTGCGATTGTCGATCAAGCATGGAACAAACGTAGCTCGCGCACTGTCGCGGGCAAGTAGCTGAGGCAGTGCTGAAGTTGCACTCGGCTTCGCTGGGCAGGCTTACAACCGTTGCTCTGCTGCGACTGCGCTCCGCATGACTCGAGGATGCCCGATGCTTGCAGCTTTCAACTCTGCCCCAACCGAGCCCACAGGAATCGAACACCGCTCCATTTGCTACTCTTTCGCTCGTTACTGAG